GCCTCCGGCGGGGTTCCTGGCAGTCCTCTCCCAAGACAAGGGGCAGCCTGTGTTTCACAGTAGGTCAGGGCTCCAGAGACACAGGCAGAAGAAGGATGTAGGCAGCGTGGGAGTGGGGGCAGTGGAGCTGGCCAACCTGCCACCATGAGGGCTTCACTGTCATGATCCACCTGAGGTCAGTGAAGCAAACCCAAGGGGGTTGCAGACTGCTGTTCTTCAACCCAGCCTGAAGGACTTTTCAACTGAGATTTTCAATAGAATAAGTCAGAAATGCATGTAATTATAAATTTCCACCATACTAAAGGGCACAGAGTGAAAAGTCTCCCTCCCACTCCAAACCCCCAACCCCCTTCCCCAGAAGTAGCCACTCTTACCAAACTATATGCATCAGAACTATCAGAGATTTCTTTTGGAAATGTTTTCTTTTTTTTCTTCTGGGTTAATCTGAAGCTTAACTTTAATGGCTCCTCTTTTCTGACCTCACATTCAATCATGCACAAAGTAGAGAAAATAGAATAATAAACCTCTATGTACCCATCACCCAGCTTCAATAATTACCAACACTTGGCCAATGTTATTTCATCTAACATTGTTACTAAAATTTTCTAGAGAGAGAAAACCCCAGGCATCATGACATTTTCACCCATAAATATTTCTCTATGCATATCTAATGGATAAAGACTCTTTTTAAAACATAATCACCACGTTATTATCATACCTAACAAATATAACAAAAAATCCTTAATATCATCTAATCCCCAGTGATTTCCACGGACTGATTTGGAATCCCACTGATTGTACAAACTTCAGGAAACTTGCCTCTGCCCTGGATTTCAAACACGAGCCTCCTACTTAGCCTGATAAGTACAGAAGGTTGGAAACTTGGGCCACAGCAGCTGTTCTTGCTCAGGGCAGAGGCTCTCTATTCAAACATTCTTTCAGAGGGGAACAAGCATCCAAGCAACTTCCAAGCAATGAGTCTGGAGAGAGGCGTTTTTTAGTGGTGGCCCTGTCCCTGGTGGCACTGGGAAAGCTGCTTTGGTACCCCTTCAGTCAAATGGAACAAATAACATTGGTCCCCCAGAGTTGGGTACGGATTTGGCAGCCAGGGATAGTAGTTTTATTTCTGCTGTACTCAGAGATCATATCAAACATGCATCTTCTCTGCAGGAGCCCCCCTGCCAAATCTGGCCAAATTTTCATGGTGGTAGACGTAGGTTCTATGGAAAGCTGGTTCTCCACATTTCTAGTAGCTATGTAGTACTGCTCCTCAGGCACTCTTTTCCTGAGTTTATTCATCTGATTATAGTTATTATTTTTTTGAAACAGAGTTTCTCTCTGTCACCCTGGCTAGAGTGCAATGGTGTCATCATAGTTCACTGCAGCCTCAAACTCCTGGACTCAAGCTATCCTCCTGCCTCAGCTTCCTGGGTAGCTGGGACTTCGGGGACACAACACCATGCACAGCTAATTTTTCTTTCTTTTTTTTTTTTTTGTAGAGACAGGGTTTCGCTCTTGCTCAGGCTGGTCTCGAACTCGTGACCTCAAGCAATCCTCCAGCCTCAGCCTCCCAGAGTGCTAGGATTACAGACGTGAGCCACCATGCCCGGGTATTGATCTGATTCTTTTGGCTTCTGGGCTACTCTTTATCTACAAGCTGTAGGCATCTCCCCTTGACAAACACACATCCAATCCACCACCTGTTCCTACCCATCCTCACACTACCCTCTGAATCTCCAGGAGAGGCAAAAGAGCACCCTCCACTGTCCCCTGCCACCCCACACCAGCTCAAAGTATGTGACATCTCTGGTCCTCAGCCCTCAGTTCTCTTGGCCAGAAAGGCATGGCCAAGCCAATCAGCATGAAAACGGGTGTGGAAAGTTCTAGCCAGAAGTACATAGGACATAATATACTGCCTGCCTGCCAGCCGGTCAGTCTTCTATGCCAGGGCCAGAAAAGCTGCAAGAATCAGCCACTTGCCTTCTCAAATTTGGTCTGGGAAGACATTATCTTGGGAAGGAGAAGCAAAGCCTCAGCTCTAGAAGCCCCAGTGCTAGCAGGTGACCCCAGGCTCACTGGGACTGTGCCTTCTTTCTTCCCCTTTACGATCTCCTACATGGGCATAGGGAAGTAGATTACCAGATTGGGCACTTGAGCCCTTATCTAGTTTCCTGGAAGAAATTCACTGGTCTTCCCTTAGTTTCAGACTTCAATCTACACAATGGAGCAAGGAGAACCCGCTCTGTGACCTTCAGGAATCTGGTACTGTGGGGTCACAGAGCAGAGAGGGGGTAATATCCAAGTGTTTTGGAGTTATTTACAAGAAAGCTGTACAACCAAACCAAGCTATGATCAAGGGGGCCCAGATTCTCTGAGGTACCATCAGAATTGCATGAAGCAAACTGTTTACGAGTTTCAGACAATCCTGCATTGTTCCCACAGGCACCCAGTGCCGGCAGCAGGATGCCACCAAGAAGGCTGGCAGTGCCCTCTTGAGGAATCCCTGGGCACTGCCAGGAGCCCAGCTGGACATTTTGCCAAGGGCTCGCAGCAGAAGCAATGGAAGCAGAATTGTAGAAATAGGTGGGAGTGGGTGGATAAAAATGGCCTCTTGGGGACCTGGAAAGAAACCCTACAAGGGCTGTAGGGAGGGCTCAGGCGAGGGGAGCTGAGGGGGTGCTGAGGCAGAGTGTCAGGATGTACAGAGCAACTGGAAGCCACTAGATCCTAGGGAGTTGGGAATCTTAAGGCATTGGGGACAATGAGTATGACCCAGTCACCTAGCCGAGTCCCTTTCCTGGCCCTGGGCATAAGAACAAGGTGGAGACAGGAAGATCTGTGCCATCAAGGAGCGTGGAGAGAGAAAAAAGAAAGAAACAGAGAGACAAACACACAGAAACAGAAACGTGTAACAGACACAGAGAGACTGAGGCTTGGGAGAAAATAAAATAAATAGTAAGGCAACAGAGACGGAGGAAAGGAGGAGAGAAACGTGTGTGAGGGGAATGTGGTTGGGAAATTGGAATATGTGAGTTTACTGGGCATGCACATTTTCTTCCAGGTAGCCTGGCTGTCCCCAGAGCTGCTGCTGAGAATCCAGGGCAAGACTCGTGCGAGAGCTCAGTCTGAGCAATTTCCCCTGTGTGCAGAGCTATCTTATCTATTCAAGTTGAGAAGGATCATCTCTCTCATCCTTTAAATCAGAAACCCCAATGTTTGGGCTCAGCTCCTTCTGCCATCTGATGAGCCCAGGACGTATGTTTGACAACTTCTTGCTCTAGGTTCTACCCCTCCTCCAGGGCTATTCGAATGACCATCCAGAAGTTTCTTGCTGGCAGGATCCAACAACTGAGCTTCCACAGCAGGCAGAGTCTATGGGTGGAGAGCAGGGCTGGGGAGGGCAGGGGCCCTAGGACTCTTTTCCATCATTCGTATGGCCTCAGTCTGGTCTGCTCTGGAGAGCCGCTACTACACTGTTCTGCAAGGGGCAGCATTTCCAGGGATCCTTTTTCCTTGGAGCTGGTGTGAGAGCAAAGGATCTAGAGTTCCATCACTCCGAGTGAGCCTCACACACTGCCGGATTCGGTTCCCGTGTAGGCCCTGAGGGGCATGTGCAGGAGACTCACCCGTTTCCTAAGAGCAGAGCCCAAGCTGGAAAGGAGACCAAGGTCACAGCCCAAAGGGAAAACTGTAAGGCACAATCTTGCCTCTTTCCCTCCACAGGAAGGTTCTAGGCTCTGCTCAGTATCTCCCTCCTTGCCTCTCTTGCCCACAGGAAAAAAATCCTAAAGGCTATACCTTCCTTCCCTGGCGTCTTCCAACAGATACCCCTCCTGTTTATGCCAACCAGTTTCCTTCAAGGCTGCTGGCCTCTAGGTCAAGAGAGCGGTGCCTCCTGAAGCTTCTAAAAGGAGAGAGGACACCAACGATGAGCCCAGATAGACACTGCTTAAGAATCATCTGTTCTAGAAAACCTTCCCAGGCTGACCCCACCTAGCACTGGGCACTCAAGTATCTTCACAGTCTTTAGAAATAGTTTACCGGGAAGGCAGGTTTCATATAGCCTTTGCCTGTTTTTGCTACTTGGCTATTTTTTCTTAGTGTTTCTTTCTCTGAGGCAGAAATATATTTTGCTTCTCTTTCTCTCCACCCTCGCTGCGACCTGCTGCTTCACCCCAACCCACTCCCTGCCTGGCCTCAGCTCCCTGATGAAGACACTACATTCTCAGGATGGAATATGGACTATCTGATTCCCAGATCGTGTTCTTAGACTTGTCTCAAGGTGGATTATTCTCCTTGGAAATCCCTCGCATCCTTAACTCCGGCCTTTTCTTTAGCCTAGACTGTGAACTTGCGCAGGTCTTGCCCCACTCCGGGTCTCTGTTAGCCTAGCTGTCCGATTTTTATAATTCCAGCCTCCCCCCAGCTTGGTCACAATCTGTTCGTGGAATCAACAGCTTGCATTTTGTCCTCATTCAGTTGAAACCGAGAAGGATTTGCAGGAAATTATTTTAAAAGACGAATTTTTCTTCTCTATTGTGTTTCTAGAGCTGGGTGGGGGGAGGAGTGCTTATTTGCCAAGGAGTGAGGGGAGGGGAAATGTGGACAGGGCCACGGGCTGCTAGGAGAGAGCGGTGGGGCTGGGGCAGGTTTGGAAGGGCTCTGGGAGACAACATGTAGGCTTTTGCCCCTGACCCCCTGTCAGGGCTACGGCTTCCATGGCTTCTCACGCTCGCGCTGCCACATCCCACACCAAATAGACTCAAGGATCAGCTGGAGGCTTCTAAGACCTTTTCGTTTTATTCCCACCCCCAATCCACATTTCCAGATGTCTCTGCAGCAAAGTGAAATTCCAGGCAAGGCTTAGGGAAAAAAGAAAGAAAATGAAACAATTGGCAGTGAAAGGCAGAGAGAGAAGATGGAGCCCTTAGAGAAGGGAGTATCCCCAAGGAGGTGGGGATAAGGGGAGGGGAAAGGGAGGAGGAGAGGAGGAGGAAAGCGGGCCTGTCCCTTTAAGGGGGTTGGCTGTCAATCAGAAAGCCCTTTTCAGTGCAGGAGAAGAGGACAAAGATACTCAGAGAGAAAAAGTAAAGGACCGAAGAAGGAGACTGGAGAGACCAGGATCCTTCCAGCTGAACAAAGTCAGCCGCAAAGCAGACTAGCCAGCCGGCTACAATTGGAGTCAGAGTCCCAAAGACATGGGTGAGTTTCAAAAACTTTACCATGGAAGATTCAAGCAGGCACAGGAATTCATGAGACTATTTCCAACTTTGGGGGTTCGGGGTTTCCAACCATTTAAATGAGTTGTGTTTTGGCACTTGTTTTCTTTTTTAATTCCTTAGCATCCAATTAGATTAACTCCTTCTCTGCTGTGCTGAGCATGATGCTTTATTGCCAAAGAATTCTAGCAGCACCTGGAGAGTCCCACAGATTTTTGGAGAGAGTACCCAGCAGGATGGATGTGGTCATGTGTCCTCCTAACCCCTCACTTCCCTCTACCTTCTCTTTTCCCTTGGTTCCAAGGCCCTGGTAATGGCCATATCAGCTGGCACCCTGGTCCTGCTGGAAGCAACTGAGTGTTGACTATTCCTCAGATGTACAAAATAGCTGCTCGCTTGATACAAACTTTGGACCCTGTTTGGCATCTGTAGGAAGTTGGGGAATCAGGCAAGCTGGACTTAGGCTTGACCATGGCTGAGGGGGCCATTCTCAGGTTCAGGAAATTTAAAGAAAGTCCTCAGTGGCTTTACCATGGGAAACAGATACAGGCAGTGGTGTGCATGTATGTGTGTGTGTGTGGACACACGCACACGCACGCACTTGCACATGGGCAACCATTTTTAGCAAATATCACAGACTTAGCCTTCCTGAGGGCATGGCTCGGACTCTGAATCTCTGCTATGACAAGGAGGCTGCTGGGACCTTAGGGCACTTGCTGAGTTGGTTGAGTGCTTCTCTAGGTCCCTTGAACAAAGAGAGAAGCTATGAGTTTCCAGTACCTGGTAGTGTCTACTCAGAGTAAGGTGTGCAGAGCGCGAGGGTCCGCGTCCATACAGGCTGCCTCAGAGTCATGTAGACGTTGCTGACATTTGGCAAAACAAGAGTAGCAACTTGAATGCATCCTAAATGAAATGAGACTCAATTGCCCCATGTATTTCTCATCAAGTGTAGTACCAACTAGACTCCAATGACACTCATGGTGGTATGTTTTCAATTATATTGATCTGGTTCAGCCTTTAGGTTGTTTTGTCATGGAACACTGGGAAAGCTCTTTGAAGCATATATTCACATAGGATAGTCAGGAGGGCAGAGCACTGGAGTCAGAACAATCAGGTTCGAGACTCCAATCAGGTTCGAATCCCAGATTGGCTGCTTATGAACTGCATGACCTTGGGCAGGTCACCATGACTCGTCATTTCATCATCTGGAAAATTGGGATAGCAACAACTGCTTTGTCTACTTTCAGGATTGTGAGAATCAAGTAATAACGATGTAGAAGTCCTTTGAAAGTGGGCAAGATCTATAACAACTGTAAATCATGACCATACTGATTATTATACGATAATATGTGTGCAGGCTAACTTTTACTTTTTCCAGGGTGGCTGGGTTCTCTTTGTGTGCATTTTGTGTGCTTGGGTAACAATCACTTGACCAAGTAAGTGTGGTCAGGTGAAAGGTGAATGTCAGAGAAAGTGAACTCTTGCCCTGGATAACGTCAGGAGCCCTATCTAATGTTAGGGCACCTGATCAAGTATCAGGTAGGCTGTGCATCAGAAACAGAAAGGGAGTAATTTTACTTCCTTCCTCGGGAATATTACTTCCTCAGGGCTTGAAATCCCCGAGGAAAGGCAGGAACAAATAAGGTGTCCACAGGAACAGTTTTCTGTTACAGAGGCTGGATGATTTCCCCCAAAGGAAGATTGGCACAGATAAGCGCACCTTAGAGGATGGGTATTGGGTCCCAACTCCCAGCCCTGGTCAATACTTGGGCCAGGTACACATGATAGAGTAGCCCCTGAGTTTTCCGTTATTCAATAACAGAGTACCTCAATTACTTTGAATTATAGACCATCTCTAACCAGGTACCGTTACTACTTCTGATGTGGAGTGTGTTGCTGTTTAACAATTGCAGCAGACAAATTATGTCATGGAATCTGGGATTGGAAGGAGCTTTAAGAAGTTGTCTGAGCCAACCTTCAATGCAGGATTCATTTCTACAACAGCCAATTAAATGTTCATACAGCCTCTGCTTAATCACCTCCAGGAACAGGAAGCTTACTCCCTCGACCATATAGAATCCCTTAGGATTGGAAGCAAAGAGAAATGCTGAATTCAATAGCATCTGCACAAAAAATGTATGCAGGGAAATGATAGCTCATTAAACTCTGTCTCGATTTGGAAGGGGAATGTTCCAAATGAGTCTTTGGGATAATAACAGAGCCAAAAAGGAACCAAAGAGCAGTAGCTGATTATTCTCGGTATAATGGCTCAGTAACACAATGCCATTACTGAACATCAAAACATTGGCTTCTGCAAGCCTGTTGTCGTCTGAGAACAGTGGCTGTTACCCTGGTAACCAGACTGTGATGCTTCCCTCCAAACGTGGCTGTTTGCCGAGCAGTGTAGCTTTGGCTGGCTCAGAGAAAGTGGGTGTAGCCTAGGCAAAAAGTGTGGCAGCAGAGCAGGGGTCGAGTTTTACAAAATGCCTTAAGACTAACCGAATCTCATCAAGATGGCTGGAATGCCACAAGAATGCCAGGAGCTAAAAAGAAACCAGATCCAAACTAGCACGTTCACTCACTCTTCCTAGAGACACTGACTAAAATTATCAAGGGCAGCCTTCCCCACCCCACTGCTCACCTTGGCCTCTGCAGAGCCAGAGCTCTTGGAGAGCCGGGGAGATTGAAAGGCCTGCCCCGCTTTGGGGGGCTTTTGTCCTGGTTCTAAGCTAGGAAAGCCAGACATTTACTCAACGGCCTGACAACTAGAACTGTTCTCTCAGAGCTGTCTGAGTGGTAAAAGGCTCAACCCTGGGAGGCGGCCAGGAGGGGAAATAAAGTCTCCAAACCCATTAAGGTAACCCCAGTGGCATCTTTTTCCATCATTGCCTTTTTGTGTATCATCTTGAAGCCTTGAAAGCCATCCCTCAGGTACCGCTCTTTAACTTGAAAGAAAGCAATGGTAGAAATGCCCTCCCTGCCCACAGCACTTCAGGTCTAGAGAAGAGCAAGTGAGGGCAGTGACATCATCAGGAAGGGTCATACCAGCCATGGTAGGTGGACAGAGTAGCTTCCCCTTTCTTTCCTGCTCTCCGGACCTACCCAGTGCCAAACTTACATCCAAAGCAAGTGCTAATAGATTAGTAGTACTAATAGATCCAAAGCAAGTATTAATCTATCAGCAAGTACTGATAGATTAATCCCTCTTGGCTATTACATAATAGTCCCATGGGTCATCTCTCAGCTCTGTACTGGCCTCTGAGCTATCTGCCAGACAGGGCTCTGGAAAACAGTCAGTGACATCCCAAGGAAGAGGATAAGGTTCCTCAGATCAGCTTCAACCTGCAACCAAGGAGAGACGAGAAATTGGTGGGAGACCGACCTGAGGAACAAGGTATGGTTACTGTTGTCTCTAGTGCTGGTTACTTCTCTTTCGTCTTCCCATAAGTGGGCAAGGTGGAGACAATGTGCCAGGGATAGGTTTTAACAATCAAGCTCCTACCTCAAACAATGCCACCTCCCAGTGTTTGCACAGAGATTGGCATGTATACATCCCTCTTTCTGTATGTATGTTTGTGTGTCCGAAGAGGAGTGGGAAGTACAGGAAATAAGGTGGTCCAGATGCTATTTCCATGGTAATAATGATACCTGTCCAAAGAGGAGGCTGAGATTCCTTTTTTTTTTAACCTTACCTACATGACTTGACTATCCAGCAGGTGTGGATTCCTAGGCCCTGGGGACTGCAGGGCCCCTTTCTAGCACTTGAATGTAGCACTTGCTGATATCATGAAGGAAAGATAAGATTATAAGCAGGGCATTGTCTGACCAGGGTAAGGCCCGAAGCAAAAGTCTTTGTCTCTGGCACCTCCAGATGTTTTACTCCTAGAACCCACCCACTCATCCCCATCCATCCCTAGTACCAGTCACGGCTGCTCTAGCATCTTGGCCTTGTCAACTGCTATGGGCCTTGATCAAGGAGGCCTCTGTTCATGGGGTGAGGTTAAGGGGTGGGTTCTGGGAGGAGGGTAAGACTGTAGCGCAGATTAGAGACTTAGGGAGATGGGGCCAGTTTCTCACTCAATGAGCCTGCCTGTTGTTTAGCTCTATTGTATAGGGTTCTTCTATCTCTCCCTTTGTCAGCTGGATTCAAGGGACAGGCTGGGAATTGTGTAGGGTACAATTGGTCTCTTTCTACCATTCCTTTCCATGAAAGCCCTTCCTTTCCTCCCTTTGATGAGTTCCCAGATTCACACTGAATTTCCATCATGGAGCCGGTCCTTGAGGCATGCCCAGGGCATGGGAAAGGAGGGAGGGCTTGGGAGCTCTTGGTGTGTGCTTAAAGAGCCAGCATCAGGATCAAACCAGTCCCTTGATGGGCCCGGATTGGTATCAGAGCCACCTTGGTCCTGTTGATGTCTGTCAGGCCCCTGTGAAAAGCATTGGTGAGAAGGCTTGTAGTTCTTCAGGTTGATTAGACTAGTTTTGGGAGTTTGCAGATAAATGTAGCCAACCCTGAACTCATCTTTCCCCTTTGCTGATATTTTGTCCACAGGACTTGGTCATACCCATTTTAACACTTGATTATAGGTAGCTTTGGTTTTTAATTCACAGACATAACTTTGTTCTCTCCAACAAGATAGCAAGTTCTCTGAAGAAAGGGATTGGGCCTTATAATTCCCCTCTGTTTCTTCTTGTGTCTATGTCACTGCTCATGTGCTTAATGCTTATGCGGAATTCACATAAACAGAAATGAAAGGAAAATACCCAAGAGGGTCATTATTTTTCTCTATGATCTCTCATCAAAGTCAGCCAGCTTCATCCTATTGAGTTGCACTGAGTAATATGATCACTGCATAGTTCTTTTATGCCACCTCTTCCATGGCACAGCTTGGAGATGTGAGAATGTCTCTTGAGAGAGCCAAGGAACTTCTCCTCCAGAATCACCCCCTCAGCCTTCCTGAATCAACCCCACATCCTTTTAACCATGAGGGGTTCGGAAATGGAGAGCCTGCAGGCTTCAGGCTATTGTTCACATATACCCAAGGACATTTCTTGGACTGTGAAAAATCAAAGCAAACCCAGTGGACCTTTTTTGGAATGCTTTGATTGTCACCTACTTTGATGAAAAGACAATTTCTTGCATGTTCTGAATTTTTCTCAGTTAAAATCCCAGATCTGATTTTTGCTTGGACAGACTAACTGAAATTCTTCAATTCTGCTGAACTTAAATGCCCTCAGAGCAAACATTTCATCTCAATTATCAAGAGATGGACAACTGATGCTTATGCTGATATTGTTGAACTGTATATAGCTCAATACTGATAGATTTATCCAAGGCCATTTATTTCAGACTCCACATTAGAGACTCATTAAAGGCTATGTCTTTCTTGTCCTTTGCTTTGAGCAGCAGTGGAGCAGCAAAGGGGATGCTAAGTTATCTGAGCTCTAAGAAAATAGAGGAAAAATGGATGTGGAAAGAAAGTATTAGCTGGTGATTCAGAGCTGCTCCCAAAGTTTATCCCTTTATCACCCAGTAAGAACATGACCGATGACACTCTCAGGTTATTTGGATGATGAGGGAAGGATCAGATCCACACAAGAAGATTTTCCCCCTCATCTTTACAACCCTGGAGGGGGCATCAGCTAAAGTGTGGAGTGGAATTCTCTGTTTGGCTAGCAAGAGTTCAAGTTCTTCCATCCCTGATCACACCTGCACAACCACTTAGCCCTTCTCAGATGAAAAAGCTGGGGTCAATGAGTAGGCCCAGGACGGCCACTTGCTAGGGTGGATGACTCTCCTTACCCTGAGCTAAACAAACAGTCCTGCCATTGTTCCCAGGGTCTGACCCCCTCCCCACCCCCAGGCCTGCAGGCCCTTGCAGAATACCAATGAGGCTCCTGAGATCTTAGGGAAGAACAAGGCTTCTTTGTCCAGAGGAGCTATGGAGGGCTCTGTCCAAGCCCTGACCCTGTACTGGGGAGAGAGGGAACGGTGGGGTCACTGACCTTCCTCTCCCCACCCCAACCCCAGGCTTCAGAGACCTTCTTTAGTAGAACAGTCTAAGAGTTTGGGGGTGGGGAGGAGTTGGATAGGCAGAGAGGGAAAATGGCAGTACTGTTTACTTCCAAGCTCTTTTTCTTGACTTACAGGATGAATCTAGTATCTTAACCTACTGAGAAAGAGGAAGATCAATTTCTGGAATGTTTCCTGAGAACAATGATCAATTTCAGCAGTTGTGTTTTTCTCTCTGGTATACACGAGTGTATGTGCACATTCTCACACACTGACACACAACCACCCCCACCCCCTATGGGCGGGCTCTGAGGAGGCACTCTTCCCAAGCATTCTCGCAAAGTTCATACTAAGTAAACTCAGCCTCCACTTGGAGCAGCACAACTACAAGTTGATTGCTTCTTATAGAGGCTAAGTTTCCTGGCAGCAGCACTTCAGTTCTTGGAAAAGGAAAGGAACTGAGTTCAGTTGCAAAACTTAGCTACTTACTTGGCTTGGCTTGGGCTTCCAAGTCTCATTTCTGGTGTGACATATGAGGATCTTTGAAGAAGAGGCTCTTTGAAGGGTAGAGAAGGGCTGTCATTTTAGGGGATAATAGGTAATAGGACTCACTCCTTTTGTAGCTCTGAGAACAAAGACAAATGCCTCTACCTTAACCTTCCCATGATAGAGATAATTTGGTTTTTCAGAATCTATTCACATTGATGCAATACATCTGTGCAAATCACCAGGTGTTTAAGTACTTAGAGATAAAAAGAAACTGTGCTAAAATTAAGGGGGCCGGGCAAAGGACTCCCCTTTCCCCTGATGCCCTGGTATAGACAAGTGAGCTTGGCTTAGAGAAATGCTTGAATGTAAAAATCCAAACCAAAGAAATTAGTGCAATTTATTTTCATTCTACAAGGAATCACAAGATGCTTATTCAAAAATAGCAGCTTCCCAGAACATTTGCTGATTAGTTGTGTGTGTATACTATATGAAGAGATACGTAAAATCAGTTAGTGTGTCTGTATATATAAATATGTGTGTGTGTGTGTGTGTGTATATATATATATATATATACTCATAGATATGAATTAAGAATTTTTGTCTGAAGAACTTATCATTTTCATTTCTTTCATCTTTTAGGGATCTGGCGAAGAGGCCAGAGGGAGCTATCTTTTTCCCATCTAGTCAGTCGTCTACTTGGCATTTGCTAAGTTTCACTCCATATGGCACCTTAGAGCATGAGACTAGTACTTGGGGCACAACTGTTTTCAGAGCCTATGACTTCTTTTGCGCCTTTCCTGTTTCTCAGCAACACTGGCATGCGGCCTGGGATATCAGATCTGGGCATCTTGGGGATTCTTAGCACTTTAGGACACCTGTGTTCCCAGGCCCTCGTGTGTTTTCCCAGTGCCAGAAAGGCATTTCATGCTTTGCTGACTTTGTATGAGGTCTGTTTGTAGTTGTATTGACAGAATCTTAGTGTAGGACTGAAGATGGGGACACTGGCCAAGCTGCAGAATAGGGGGACAAAACAGCCGTGCAAAGTGCCCCAAAATCATTAAGCCTGCATTTTTATTATTGTGAGTAAAAGTAATCCTCTTATTATCATTTCTTGTCCTATGCCAGTTCCCTCCTTCTCTTTGGACTGTTCCCCACATATCTAGACTAGGAAGAATTGCACACTCCTTGCAACAAATACACACAATGTTCAGGGATAGCCAGGAGCTTGCAATTCCCAACATTTTTTGCACCTGGACTGCTCTTCAGGCTCAAATTCTGTCTGACAATTCCAACATCTCCAGCCTGCACTTATCCCTTCCTGAAACTCCAAGTGCGTTTACCCTCTGTAACTACTTACTTGGCTGCCTGGAATTGTTAGTTGAAAATATTATTAGGTCTACCTAGCTAATTCTTCTTCAGGAAACCAAGCACTCCCAAATGGCAGAGTCTATGTCTTTTCTGTGTTTCTATCCCATATAACACCCAGCACGATACTGAGCATAGAGTAAGTATGTATTTATTCCACAAATAGCTGATGAATGATTAAAACAATCATGCAAACAAACAGACCAGAACAATAAGGAAGGAGGGACTGATTGAATAATCTCTCTGGCTTGCTTATTTGAATTACTCAATTATTATTATTATTTTTTAAATACCATAAAATCTGAGAATTCAAAGTAAGGATTTATTTTAAAACACAGAACAAAGTAAGGATTCTGGGTCAATCTCACATTCCCCAAACTGAAACCTGTAGCCTCTCCTGCTTTGGGACTCCGGGGTGCCCACCCTCTCTGTGCCTGTGAGCGCAGGGGCTGGCTGGTCTGGCAGAGAGGTCTGCGTGGCGTGAGCTACCGACTATATGTGCCTGACTGTTTCCCCTCCTTCTTCCCCAGGCTTGCTAGAGTGCTGTGCAAGATGTCTGGTAGGGGCCCCCTTTGCTTCCCTGGTGGCCACTGGATTGTGTTTCTTTGGGGTGGCACTGTTTTGTGGCTGTGGACATGAAGCCCTCACTGGCACAGAAAAGCTAATTGAGACGTATTTCTCCAAAAACTTCCAGGACTATGAATATCTCATCAATGTGTAAGTACCTGCCCTCCCACCCAGACCTCTCTCTTTTTCCCTCTCTCCATCCTGGAGATACAGAACTCAGCAGCACCTTAGTGACTAGCAAGGCACTGGGGAGGAGCCAGACAGGATTTCTTTTGTGTGTGTGTTTTGAGACAGAGTCTCACTCTGTTGCCCAGGCTACAGTGCCACCATGCCCAGCTAATTTTTTTTCTGTATATTTTTAGTTGGCCAACTAATTTCTATTTTTTAGTAGAGACAGGGTCTCGCTCTTGCTCAGGCTGGTTTCGAACTCCTGACCTCGACCCTCCTCGGCCTCCCAGAGTGCTAGGATTACAGGCGTGAGCCACCGCACCAGACAGGATTTCTGAGTCTGCCCTCTGTGTGCAGATTCTGCCTCTACCACATCTGAAGCCCTAAAATGAGGGGAAAGTGCCAGATTCAGAAAGGAGGGGCCTGCCAGCTCCCTCCCACCCCTCCTTGTCCTCTCACACATGTTCTGACCTCTGCTAGGTGTGGTCAATATTGCTGGAGTTGGGGCCTCCACAGGGGTAGGAACAGAGAACCCTGTGGGGGAGGGGGGTGCGCACAAAGACTGGGCAGAGTGGGGTCGCTGCTCTTGGTTTGACACGCTGCTCTAGTCTGCTCGGGTTTAGTATTAATACTAAACCTCTCCTGTTCCTAGAACAAGTTAGGCTCCTGTTCCTTCACCCCTCTTCCTTGTGTCTAGCTCCCCTCTCCTGTGAGCTGGCATCTCCAAAGGGTCAGGCCAGGAGAGTAGGGCCCTGGTTCTCCGAGTGCAGGGTAAGCAAGAGGTGGGGAGAGGAGCATATGCTCACAGCCACATGCGCTCTGCCTTCATTTACTTCAGTAAAGACAAGGTAAAAGCGTGCAGGGGGAGCCTAGTGATTCTTCTAAAGAATCCCTAACCCTGCTAAAGTCCCTGTTGTGGTGTGTACCTCACTTATATGCAGGAAAAGAGCCGAGTCCCCAATTAATATGATTCTGTGGTCTCTTTTGTCTATCTGCTAATGCAGGATCCATGCCTTCCAGTATGTCATCTATGGAACTGCCTCTTTCTTCTTCCTTTATGGGGCCCTCCTGCTGGCTGAGGGCTTCTACACCACCGGTGCAGTCAGGCAGATCTTTGGCGACTACAAGACCACCATCTGCGGCAAGGGCCTGAGCGCAACGGTAACAGGGGGCCAGAAGGGGAGGGGTTCCAGAGGCCAACATCAAGCTCATTCTTTGGAGCGGGTGTGTCATTGTTTGGGAAAATGGCTAGGACATCCCGACAAGGTGATCATCCTCAGGATTTTGTGGCAATAACAAGGGGTGGGGACAATGGGGCGTGAGTCTGTGGCCTCATCCCCACGCAAGGCTGGGTCCTCTCTAGGGGCCTGGCTTTTGAGTGAGGAAGCGATGGCTACAGCCAAACGAGAAGGTCGGGAAGAACGTGGTGCCCAGCCGGCTTAGCCTCGCCTTTCAAAGGTTCCCTAGACAATTTCATCTCAAAATGAAAAGCATGACTTTTATGGGATGCTTCGTACAATCAGACCATTTCTAAGCCATCTGTTGGTATCCCTTTGCTCCCTTCCTAGCAGGGACCACAAGAGTGGATCTGACCGCCCAAGACTAAAATGCTGCTCTTAGGATTGAGACTTAGGCACCTGACCTGAGAGCGAGGGTGGATCTTAGAAATTAAATAATTGGCTCCAAGGTGGAATTCATGATATTCCAAGATCTCACACTGTTGGAGGTCCCAGGGGGAATTAGTGTAGATCTGCGGATTTTATGTTTTATCTTTGTCTGAGGGCTATCCATACTTCTGATAAGGCACACATTGGTTTTCAGTCCCTAGAATTAAAGATCCTTTGGGGTCCGAACATGTGTAGGTTGTGGCAATGTCTTTTTGTGGCCAGCAGTTAGCTTAGAAAGGTTTTTATATCTGAAATTTCAATCTCCTATTGGCTTTGTTCAATGACTAGGGAACAAAAAAGTTCCTGTGATAAGGAACATTTTCTAAGCTCAGCCTAAGGCACAAAATGGCACGACTTTCTTTCAAGATCTGTTTTGATTTCTTTACACCTTATCTGCCCCCAAAACCTCCTGAAGCCTCTCTAACCCAGGGATCCTCCTCACTCCTACCCCCACCCATTCCCCCCACCCTCCTGTCACACTTGGGGCCAATTCTTTAGTAGATACTGCCAATGGCATTTGGCAGAGGTGCCCTGCTCACTAATTTCATTTGGGGGAGAGCCCTGGAATTTGGTTTCATTGTGTGGCACATGCCACTCCAGGGTCTCCCAGTTTGTGTTTCAATGTCTTCAGGCTAACGCTGATCTCTAACCGCCCCATGTCAATCATTTTAGTTTGTGGGCATCACCTATGCCCTGACCGTTGTGTGGCTCCTGGTGTTTGCCTGCTCTGCCGTGCCTGTGTACATTTACTTCAACACCTGGACCACCTGCCAGTCTATCGCCTTCCCCAGCAAGACCTCTGCCAGTATAGGCAGTCTCTGTGCTGATGCCAGGATGTATGGTGAGTTAGGGCATGGGTGCTTTGGCTTTCCTACCCACCATGGGAGCACTATATATTTGGCTCTTTTCTTAGGGTAGGGAGGGTGGTAATTACGGGAAAAATACAAGATGATGAACACCTGGCTCTCAGTTTGTTAATCCCTCCCCACTGAGACCAGAGAAGTTTCTTCCCTGGGAAGGGGATTCGGAAGTGGTGGGAGTTTTCTTGGCCGTTCACACTGCTCTGCTCTAATTGACAGCTGTTCCCAACCCCAAAGCAGCACATTTCAATAACAAAAACAAGATTTCACAACTGTTCAATACCAGCAGTACTTTTTTTTGTAAATCTTTAGAAAACAGGATCCTGATTGCTGGTGGAATCCAACTTTATAGTCAGGATGATTAGAGATGAAAGAAGGGCGCTGAGGGAAAGTCTCTGGCCCCATAACTTCATGAAGTTTACCTTGGTTGATTTTTGTGTCACTTAGGTGTGCTCCCATGGAATGCTTTCCCTGGCAAGGTTTGTGGCTCCAACCTTCTGTCTATCTGCAAAACAGCCGAGGTGAGTGGACTATTTGGGTTAGTTTACAATGAAATGGCTAATACCATACAAATTTCTATCCATGGCCTTCAATTTTAAGGACTTAATTTTCTCTTTGCTGGATTTTGAATTAACAGATTGCCTTCTACAAAATATTGGCTGAGCATGCCTGAGCCAATGAGCATAGATGGTAAAATACCTATTTTCCCAAGGGCTGCGTAGAAAGACTTCCATTCTTAAACTTCCCTCCTTAATGGTATTTTAGGTAAAGGTAGAGCCTAGTGGCAAAATCCCCCAAATGAAAATTTTCATTCTTTATTTAAAAACCTCATCAAGAGAATGGGCTGTGCACAGGGACATTATACGTTTTAAAAAACACTTTAAGTTTCTCAATCTCTAATGAGAGGTAAGATAAATATATTCAAAAAAGGAAATCACTGGATTGAGAAAGGATATCATGCACAAATGAGACAGCGGAATAAAAGTAAATTCTGGGAAGGAAAGTAGTAAGTTATTTCTTTAAAAGCAAAGTGTTGACTTTACATTTTGGGCCTCTGGGCACAACTCTAGGGAACCAGTTGATTATTTGGGAGTACTACACTTTTTTATGAGTTTTCTTTGTTCTGGGTGCTATGGTGCCTGATACTATCATGTACATTGAAGACTGGGAGGTCTACACTAAGGGAGGTGAAAATTTAGAGATGCAAAATTAACATACAAGAAAGACATCAACACACACATCTAGAAAGTCACATTTACAATTTACAGTGGAGCATATTTTTGCTGTTGCAAGAAACAGTTCTCTCTCTCTTGCATTTTCCTGCAGTTCCAAATGACTTTCCACCTGTTTATTGCTGCATTTGTGGGGGCTGCGGCTACACTGGTTTCCCTGGTGAGTTGTCTTTGAATGATCTAAGTAAATAAATGGGCCCAGGATAGCTTGGGTACAGCTATGCTAAAAAGCAAGAAGACAGGCCAGGCGTGGTGGCTCATGTTTGTAATCCTAGAACTCTGGGAGGCCAAGGCAGGAGGATCGCTTGAAGTCAGGAGTTCGAGACCAGCCTGAGCAAGAGTGAGACCCCCATCTCTACTTAAAAATAGAAAAAAAATTAGTGGGGCAACTAAAAAAAATAGAAAAATTAGCTGCGTGTGGTAGCATGCAACAGTGCCCCAGCTAATTGGGAGCCTGAGGCAGGAGGATCACTTGAGCCCAGGAGTTTGAGGTTGCTGTGAGCTAAGCTGACACCACGGCACTCTAGCCCAGGCAACAGAGCAAGACTCTGTCTCAATAAATAAATAAATAAATAAATAAATAAATAAATAAATAAATAAAGCAGGCAAGAAGATATAGACCTTAGTTTATCCTCTATCTTTAACATTTAAATGCGGGAGAGAAGATGCTGGAAAGAGACAGAAAAGTGTAGAGGCTGTGTGCTTCTACTTTGGATTAGCAGGGCAGAAAAACTTCAAAAATTAGACAGGAACAAGAAAAGTGGTGTGAGGAAAGAGGAGGCCAAAGATTCATAGTCATGAATGATAATATTTAGCATTTTCAGAGCACATAATATTGCCAAGTGGTTTGCAGCCATAAATTACAGTTAGTTCTCAATACATCCTCGTCAGGTCAGTGACAAAACACTGAAACATCACTAAACATGATTTGCTATAGCCTGGAATTCTGTATACTGTAAATATGAATCCATCTTGGATACTTTCCAATGGATTTAGTTAATCTTGTGGAAATATTGGAAGGACCTCCTGACATTATTAGAATTGTTATGACTATGATACAATTCTGTGTCGCAGGTCTTGCTGATAGTGTTACAGTGTGGTATCAGTGTAGTGTGCTCATTGTGTAGATTAGAAACCTAAGGCACTGAAGGGTGAAGTGATTTATCTGAAGTCACTGAGTATGATTTATCTGAAGTCACTGAGTAAGCCGTGATCAGACAAAGATGAGCTCACATCCAGGAACTCCTGGTTCCTATTGCTGAGCCTTTCAAACAGAGTCAAGTAATTTCTCACCTTTAAAATAAATTGATGCATTAAGCAGGGGAGGGCTATGCTGTTTGGTGTGGCTGTGTATCTATAGCAAGCACCTTGTGACTCCCAGTCTCTTAGACATGTGGATGTGGCAGAGCCCATGTATCTATCGTTCACTTCCCTGAGGCAAACTCTGCTTTTGCAGAGCAGGGGGTTTTCCTTTATTTAGTTATGATTTTATTTCTGCCCTTCCTCATTCCCAAAGGGACTGAAGGAGGGAGCACTTCTTTTTCTACTCTCACTCATGTTCTGTCTTCTGTTCCCTACAGCTCACCTTCATGATTGCTGCCACTTACAACTTTGCCGTCCTTAAACTCATGGGCCGAGGCACCAAGTTCTGATCCCCTGTAGAAATCCCCCTTTCTCTAATAGTGAGGCTCTAACCACACGGCCTACAATGCTGCGTCTCCCATCTTAACTCTGCCTTTGCCACTGACTGGCCCTCTTCTTACTTGACGAGTGTAACAAGAAAGGAGAGTCTTGCAGTGATTAAGGTCTCTCTGTGGACTCTCCCCTCTTACGCACCTCTTTTAGTCATTTTGCTTCACAGCTGGTTCCTGCTAGAAATGGGAAATGCCTAAGAAGGTGACTCCCCAACTGCAAGTCACGAAGGAATGGAGGCTATAATTCAATTTTCAAGCATCTCCTGAGGACCAGGAAGTGTTTTCTTCTCAAAGGGCACTTCCATTGATGGAAACAGAGTGGAAAGAAAGATGCTCAGGTAGAGAGAAGGAATGTCCTTGGTTCCCTTTCCATCGATAGGGGCCAATTATATTCTCCTTGGTGTACAAAACAGAGAACTCACTCCTGTCTCCCAATTACCACTGAAGGTAGAAGAAAAAAAGGATGCCAGCAAAATGATAAAAGCATTTGCCCATATCTGCCTCTTGCAGCTGGGAGAAGGGGGTCAAAGCAAGGATCTTTCACCTAGAAAGAGAGCACTGACCCCGGTGGCAATGGACTATTTAAGCCCTAACTCAGCCAACCTTACTTATAGCATAAGGGAGCGTAGTGTCTGTGTAGACAAAGGGGGCATCTGGCCTTACACCTCGTTACGGAAGAGAAACAGGGTGTTGTCAGCATCTTCTCACTCCCTTCTCCTTTATAACAGCTACCATGACAACCCTGTGGTTTCCAAGGAGCTGAGAATAGAAGAAAACTAGCTTAGTGAAAAAAAAACTAGTCTAAGGAGAAGCAGTTGCTGGTAGCTAAGGGTGTAACCTGAAATGGCCCTCTGGTAGACACAGGATAGATAACTCTTTGGATAGCATGTCTTTTTTCTGTTAATTAGTTGTGTACTCTGGCCTCTGTCATATCTTCACAATGGTGCTCTTTTCATGGGGTATTATCCATACAGTCATAGTAGGTGATTTGAAGATCTTGATTTGTTTCAGAATGATGCACATTTCACATATTCCAATTTGTTTATCACTTGTTTTGGGGTCGTATCAGAAAGGTCTGGAGAATGATTCTTTGATTATGATTCTTCCAAAAAGGAAAATTGGACATTCATCATCACAAATGATATTAAAAATTGGCTAATGAGAGGATCTATTGGGATTTTGTACAAGTATTCTGCCCTTTGCAGAAACAGATTTGGTGAATTTGAACCTCAATTTGAATAACCTGTTTAATTGTTCTTTCTAGCTAATGGGAGATGATGATTTTACTTAGCAATGTTATCTTGGCATGTTAAGAGTTAGGTTTAACATAAAGGTTATTTTCTCCTGATATGGATCACATAACTGAATGCACCAATCGTCAGCTATTCAGTTGGTAAGCTTCCAGGGAAAAAGACAGGCAAAAAGAGATTTCAGTCTTTTCCTGTTTGGGGGCTAACTTTGGGTTAAAAAAAAAGTCTGATTGGTTTTTATTGAAGGAAAGATTTTTACTGTAGCTCTTTTGTTGTAAAGAGTTGTGTTGTTCTTTTTCCCCAAAAGTGGTTTCAGCAATGTTTAAGGAGATGTAAGATCGTTACAAAAAGACACTTCATACTTGTTTTCAGACCAGTGTAGGAGATAAGCTTCCAGGCTGCATAGAGGAAGGAGAGGGAACATGTTCTGTAAGAAACCAATCAAGATCAAGGAAAGTGAAGTAATCCTTACCTTGTGTTTTGTTTTGATTTAATAACATAACAAATAACCAACCCTTCCCTGAAAAACCTCACATGTATACATACACACATATACACACACCAAGAGAGTTAATCAACTGAAAGTGTTTCTTCCATTTCTGATATAGAATTTCAATTTTAACACCCATAAAGGATAAACTTTTAGAAACTTATCTTACAAAATGTATTTTATAAAATTAAAGAAAATAAAATTAAGAATGTTCTCAATCAAACGTTGTGTCCTTTGAGTGAATTTTTCTATCTGATCTCACAATAGAAACTTAATAATTGGACCTTGTTGAGGGAGTTCATTTATTTTGAAGATCATCCAGATCATTCTCACAACACTTCTCTGAAATAAATAGTTGATGGCTAGATCACTTCTATTTTTATAGCTGGAGACACTGAAAAATAGAGGCAAAGAAATCTATCCAAAGAAACCCAATAAGTATCTGTCTGAGCTTGGACTAGAACTCAGATCTTAATTCCAACGTAGTGCCTATTTAAAGGGTTCTTTTCTCTTTGAAGTTGGGTTTCAGAGTGTTCTGCGAATTCAGAGTCAAATACAGTTGCTTCTTCAATACCATAGTGGTGACCCAGCCTTTGGTGTGTTTTGGTTGAAGTTATTGTCACCTCCTCTTTAAATTGTTTGGATAGTCTAGTAATGAGTCCTTAGTTCTTCATACATGATGAATATTTAGTTTGTCCTGAAGAGTACTAGATAGAAAGTTTAATGTTTAAAGAGCAGACAGATATGGCAAGGGCAACGTAAATGTAAATAGGGCTGTGGCAGGGCAGTATTAAAATAAATTAGTGACACCTATTACCCTGTATGGCCAGCCCGCTAGCACACCCGGGATATAGACCTGTGTGACAATGGCAGGGCTTTAATGCTGAGACCAATGAATAAATAAATAAAAAATAAATAAAACCCTGTCACAACCCTAGGTTAGAATTGGGCACTCTTGGACAGCACTGTAATGATGAGCCTAAAGAAAGCTGACTTAAAATTAGCTGCAGATTCATTGTCCCATAGTTGCAGCTTGGCAAGGAGCATGATTGGAGAGAGAGGGACTTTGGCTGGGGGCGAGAAGTCAGTCATCAGTTCAGAAGCTTCGTTCAAAGGTAGTTTCAATTTAATCTCCTGATTTCTGCTTCACCACAATTAATATTCCACAAGCGAGTCTGGTTGAATGACTCTGAGACAAAAAGAATAAAAATATGACAAGGACTTATTTTTAGACACTGGCAAACAAGAACGCAGCACCATATTTTGGAGGATTGATTCAGGCTGCTACAGAGTGAATGTATTTTTGCCTCAGAGGAGCCGAAAGCCACTTCCCAAGAAAGCTGTGTTTTCCATCTGCCCTTATTTGGCTCTGCCCTCTGGGATTGATCTATAGATGGAGTTTCCAGGCTCTCGGAAGCTGAGAGCATCTCCAGCCTATCAATCGAGGCCATTGTTCTTAGCTCTCCCACACATCATAAACCTCCTTTCTCTGAACTGAAAGAGCTCTCTTTGTGCTTAGATCAGCCAAAGATCAAGATGCAGCAGTATAAACAAGAAATATTTTCTTACAGCGTCAGTTGTATTTCTTTTCCTATATTCAGGGTCAGTACTGAGAGTAGTTATGCACAACGTGGAAGCTGCAGCTTTGTTCAGAGCAACATTTGTTCATTCATTCATTCATTCATTCCATGAACATTTATTGAGCACCTACCACGCTCTGTGCTAAAGCCCAGGAGGTTCAAGTTTGAGGGTTGTATGGGTAGAAAGGTGATGAAGACCTGATCTCACAGTCAGGGATTTCTCTCAGCTTCAGCCATAGCAGGGAGGTCTCCCAGGGTGGACTGGAGCAGAGGCAGGGAGTGTGCAAAAAGCAATGTGACTGGCTGACTGCAGAGGGCATCTGGATTCCCCCCTCAGTATGTGGGAGAGGTGGTGGTGAAGGCCGTGACTTCACGTGGTTCTGGTTTTCTAGAGCCCTGATAAAAACAAAACTTCAATTTAGAGTCCTAAAAACTTGTGACTTGCTCTCTCTGTGTTACCCTGCTCTTTGCCTTACATGTGACAGCATTTATGCACACACTGGCACAATGCATGTGCGTGCCTCCACCCACTCAATCATTTAGGGAGTCAGAGGGCACGTGGATAAGGATTTATATAAACACAAGCTTTTCAGCTTGGCCTTTCCTCCTCATTCAGGCTAAAGCTGAGCTGCCAAGGATGGGTAATTTAAGATACAAGGTCCTTCTCTCTTTGAATTTCCTTACTGTGAGCAGATAATGTGTCTATTTTGATATTAACAGTTAGCTTGATAAGTATTAAGTAACAAATGGAAGAAATGTTAATTCTTATGCTAAAAATAGCAATACTTGGCCTGTTTTTACATCAATAAACAGATAAGGAATTCCAGTCAACCTCTATACACTGAGAAAGATTTTCCTTGTTCACTCATTTGCTTTGAAACAAGCAGTCACGTTCTTCATTATTTCTGCTGTCCCACAAACTTTCGTGTCTATGTGCTCCTGTTCTGGGACTCCTTGAATTGATCGACTTTGTTCTAAAGGGGGAAAAAAAACTGGATAAAGTCATGAGTATTTTACAGATTATTAATTAACCAAAGGAAACCCAGCCTTAACAGTTATTCAAACCTTCAACAAATATTTATTTAACAAATTCTCTGTGCCAAACGTTATGCTAGATGATTGAAATACAGCAGTGAATAATAGAGACATAGTCTCAGCTTACATGGAGCTCAACTAAAGAAGAAAAGGGTTAGGAAGGGAGACCAGAAGTGTGGTGAAGAATGAAACTAACACCCTTTGACAGAGAAAGTAGAAAAGATAGAATCAGGGAGAAACTTATACAGTCCCATGAGAAACAAAGGGTTGCAGAAGAAAGGATATAGACATGCAAGTTTATATCTAGAAAAAGAGGCCTGACATGCTATGGTATTTAGGATCAAAAAATGTTAAATAACCTTGTACTGCCTTGTTCAATCAACATGGAAAGTAACACAGCTCTGAGTTCCAAAGAAACTAACTTAATAGATACGCTATATAATTATGTGAAATTCTACCTTTCAAACATCAAAAGGTCAAACCACAAAGCTGGATTATGAGGGTTACAATATTAGAACCAAACAAGCCAACTGATATTTAAAAATGTATAGAGGGTTTTAATTCTAATTGGTGACAAACTCACATGTAGAAAAGGAATGTGGCTCTTGCAATCAAAGTCTCCTTCTATATCCCAAAATGTACCAGATATGAATATGGTGAGCTCTCATTTGATTTAAAATATGAAATCAGCCTACATTAACAAAGAAATATGAACAGAAACATAAGCATTCTCCTTTGTGCAGATGATACTATTATCACAAGCTCTGAGTGGTCTCAGCAAACAAATGTCTCAGCTAATTATTGCTAGAAAGAAAGCCTACACACCAATTTTCCTAAAAACAAATTTGCCATTTTCAGTAGATATTCCCAACTTCTTGTTTTCGAATAGTGTAAATCAGGTGCCCTCAAACTATGACCCGTGGGCCACATGCGGCCCGCCAAGGACGTTTATCTGACCCATCGGGTGTTTTTGCCCCCGCTGGCCGTCCTGCTTAGCAGCTGACTGGTCCGGGGCCCACAGTGCGCATGTGTGGAATGTGCCCATACTCTCCGACGACCCTCCAACGGTCTGAGGGACAGTGAACTGGCCCCCTGTTTAAAAAGTTTGAGGACCCCAATTTTTAAATCATTCCATAAAGCTAGTACCTCAAAATATATCTTGCAGCTAGTTTATCTAGGAGGATACAAGCAAATCATATTTCTCAAAGCCAGGTGGTATGTGGGTACTACTGAATTTGTGTGTGTGAGCGTGTGAGCATGTGCCTGTGTGTGTATGTTGTTTGTTTTTAATAGCTGAGATGGTTATGACCACTTAATTCCAGGTTAAAAATTTTTTAGTCATGCTTTATGACATAGAGTTTTGATGGCCTATTTGTCTTGGTGTTAAAGAAGACCCAAATTAATTTTCTGAAGAGGTTCTTAGCCCGGTCCACAGGCGGCCATATCTCCAACAATAATAGCTACACTTTACTAAGCACTCTGCAAAGTACTTCACGCCTCCTAGCTCATTTAATCCTCACATCCGTCTTATGAGGCAGAAGCAACTATTATCCCTTAGCTCCATGCTGGCGCATGTGCCCTTGTTGGTTACATCAGTTGACAGTAATGCTATCAATCCTCTCCCCGCTCAGCTGACTAGTAAAGCTGAAGAGATTAGCGGCCTCAGGTGTTTGTCAGGGAGCAGAGCCACAGTCCCTGTAGCTCAGTACTGTGAATAAAAGTTCTCTTAAAATGAATATGGCGGAAAGAAACTACGCCACCCAGCAGTTTGCAAAACGGGGAGACACAGCCTTAGGTATAAAAAAGGTAAGTGCCAGAAAACAAAGGAAAGATTTGGTTTTCCCCCCTCATTTATTTTTTATTTGTACATACTCACAGGTTGGGGGAAGTTGAGGTTTTATAGCAAACCATTGCACCTGCCTTCCTAGTCAGGGGTGTTTATGCAAATGAAGGATTCAAACTAGCTTAGTTCTGATTGGTTGATACAGCTGAACCCTGATTGGTTGAGGAAGCTGAGCCCTGATTGGTCGAGGTAGGTGAACTCTGATTGGTTTGTTCAGGTGAGCTCTTATTGGTTGGTTCTAGTGAGCATTGATTGGTTGGTTCAAGTGAGCTCTGAAGCCCCCAAACTGAAGAGAGGTGTGCATTTTCAGGGAACTCAGGAGTATGTGTGACCTTTATTTAGCAATGGCCGCTTGGCTCTATTTAAAATTTAGGCCCAGTTAGCCACTAGAGATCCATCTTGAAGAACTGGCTCTTTCAGGTTCATGTTTGTTCATAGTACCCACCAAAAACTCCACGGAGAGAAGCAGTAGTTAGGGAAGATGACCTGAAGGAAGTGTAGTCCATTCATTCCCCAGTCATCTCCAAACATTTTGATTGTGCAACCCCATCACTAGAACATGTTGGAGGCCTTCCCCCCCATGTCTTTGTTGCTATAAGTGTGGTCTCAGGATAAGCAACATCAAGATCACCTGGGAGCCAGTTAGAAATGCTGAATCTTAGGTCCTGACCTTACCTACTGAATCAAAAACTGCACTTTAAGAAGATCCCAGGAAGATTTGTATGCACATTAATATTTGAGATTCCCTATGTGTAATTATATAAA